GTGAGGGGGAGGGGGAAGGGGCGAAGGCGGGGGTACAGGGAGAGGGGAGAGGGAGAGGGAGAGGGTCGGGGACTATGCGTGTGATAGGCCAGATCGACAAGAAGAGAGTGACAACGTCGCAAACGGAGGGTGTGCGCAGGAAAGGGTATTATGCGCCCCCTCTTAATGGGGAATTAATGTGGCAATAATCATGCGCCATTTAATATGGATAATGATTTATTGAGAGTGATTATGAAGAATGATTTACGAGGAATAATTTATGGATAATTATATTAAAAAAACAGAAATGGGTAATAATACGGATAATGACGTGGCAATTGGTATGGATAAAGCATTTATGTGGGGGGAAAAAAATAAACGGATAATGACATCGATAATGACGTGGCAATTCGTATGGATAAGGATGTGGCATTTGATATGGACAAATCTTATCCACTTTTGTCGAGAAGATTGCATGTGCATGGAAAGTTGTGTCCGGTCACTGAACTTTCCTCTGAACTTTCCCATGCGCATGCAATCTTCTCGAATTGCAAGGTGGTGGCGCCTTATCACGGAGCTGATGATCGACCAAGAAGCGCAGGAAGAACCTTATCTAAGAAGAAGACCAGGTTCAGCAGCTTGCACTTCGCCACCGGACAAGGGGAAAGAGAACACGACTTTTCTCTGGATCAGGCCTATAACCCTATCTGGCCGTCATTGCGCAATGTATACGACCTATCTTTCGGGTCCGATACAGTCATAATTAGGATGCCTTGTGTTCGGGGGAAAGACGTACGGCCGCCGCCTGACAGAGTTAGGGGACAAATTACAAAAAAACAAATTACAAAAAAAACAAATTACACAAAAAACAAATTACAAAAAAACAAAATTCTGCCAAAAGATAAATTTCATTTAACACCCAACCATTCTACATCTCTGCTGAAAACCTACCTATCCAGATCCAGGCCCTTAATTAGTGGGACTTTCGGCCTGATGAAATCGATAACCGACATGTTCTTTATTCTTTTTTCTTTTTTTAATCGAGCTCCCGCACAGATTCAAGCCGCCAATAAAAATGAAGTTAAATAACGAAAAAAAAAAAAAAAAGAGTTCGTCGTTTGCATAACCGACATGTTCTGCATCGTTATTTTTATAAAACAACTTTTTTTTTTTTTTTTTTTAACTCCAAAATAATAATCACCAAAAGGGGCAAGAAGCGCCCATAATCATGAAATGCATTTTCCTTGCTCTTGCCCAATAAATAAAAGAAAGAGAAAAAGAAGCGCCCATAATCATGAAATGCAATTTCCTTGCTTTTGCCCAATAAATAAATAAAAAAAGATTAAAAGAAGCGCCCATATGTAAAATCTAATCGAGCTATGAGCGAGTTAAGAGCAGGGGAAAGGGAAAGATGGGGTGTGCCCACGTGATCCACGTGTCCCAAGCTGCATGCCTGATACGAGTAACCAGAATGAGCCCACGTGTTCCACGTGTCACAACAAGTTCCACGAGCCCACATGTTCCACGTGTCCCCAGCAGCGATCAGGATACGCCACGTGTCTAATGATCCAGCGATCGATTTATGCCACAGTTTAGTCTCTATCATCGGCGAGCAACAAGTTAAAGATACGGTCCACGTGTTCCACGTGCCCACGTGGCAATAAGTTCAGCCTCTAGGCCTGGATCATTAGCCACGTGGTGTATCGTGGGCGGCGCGCAACAAGTTCCAACCTCTGGAACTGGAGCGCTGGACAGACACGTGGTAAACATCGTGAGCGCTACCTTCTTCCACCGAACACAACGTGTACGGTCATTATAGCTGAAAATTTGGCGTATCTTTCAGTCTAAATACAGCTATAACGACCGTATGTTGTATTCGGGGGATTCAGTCTAAATACAGCAGCAAGACGGTAGGCCTGAGAGCTGTAGTTCGCTACAGTCTTCACCCGAATACAACGTACCGTCATTATAATAGCTGTATTTGGGGCAACTTCGCGTCTAGATACATCCAGTCATAATGACCGTACGTTGTACTCGGGTGAAGACTGTAGTCATATACCACTGGCACGCCACATTTGAAAAAAAAACACACACAAGTAATTTGTATACCTTGTAAACCTCCTCTTCTACATCTCCATAATAATAAATAGGATGACACTATTACCACTTTCTTTATATTTTAATTCTTTATTTCTTTATTTTATTTATTCTTTAATTCGGACCATTTCTCGATTTATGCGTGTCATTCTTGCGCAGGGGCCATTTGCTAATTTACCCTTCTCTCTATCGTTCCAATTGCAACGGATGTCCCGAAGGACGTTCTTTATATTTTAAGCTTTGACCAGCTAACAGAGTAGAAATTCCAGTCAATCAGTAGACACGTGGTGTCATTAGACACGTGGTGTATCGTGGGCGGCGCGCAATAAGTTCAACCTTTAGGCCTGGATCACTACAGTAGACACGTGGTGTATCCCGATCGCCGTATCATTCGACACGTGGTCTATCATCCTAATACCCGCAGCCAGGATAGAGTTAGCAGGGAGAGTCCAGTCCACGTGTTCGACGTGCGCACGTGGCAGTCGGGACAGGGTAGGACGAGAGAGAGAGATGAAGTAGTCTCTAGCATCGGCGCGCAGTAGTTTTCCAGAAGTTGAACTGCGCGCCGATGAGTTCGTGTAAGATTGGATCCCCGAGAAGGAGATGGTAGAAGATACGCTGGCATCGGCGCGCAGTAGTTCCAGAGGTTGAACTGCGCGCCGATGAGTTCGTGTAAGATTGGATCCCCGAGAAGGAGATGGTAGAAGATACGCTGACATCGGCGCGCAGCGAGTTAAGCTCCTGGAACCAAATACAGCTGTACTGACAGGGCGTTCTATTCGGGTAAAGACGGTAGCCACGAGGGTTCAAATTGGGTTGGGGAACAGACAATAGATGTGATTTCATGTAACCCCCCTCACATTCCTTCAGCAGAACGCGCTGCACCATGCTGACGTGTACGTGAATCTAGATCAACCCGCTGACGTGGCAATAACACAGCGCAGCGTGTCAGATATACTTATATCGTCACAGAGTTATCAGAGCGCAAAAGCGAAAAAAAAAAAAAAAAAGATATCAATTCATTTTTTATCTGACTTACAACTCCCCCTGTTCAGAACCTCTTGCGTACAAGGCCGCCCACGTGGATGTAGGTTGAGCGGCGGCTGCCCCCACCCCCGTGTGTCATATCGACCCATGCACACAGCCAGAAGGCAAAGAGGCAAAGAAAAGAGGAAGGGAACAGCCAAATACTAGCAATACAGAACAGGGGGCAACAAAACAAATCCCAGATGACACGTCCCACATGCAAGCACCGCCCCAACTCACAGGCCAAACGGCGGGACGAGACCAACCAGGATATCAAAACATTCTTGTCTACAAAAAAAGCAAAAAGAACGGCTCCGATCCCATTGTGACAACCAAAAAGAAAGAGAAGACGATCCCGGATGACGATTCCCACATACAAGCACCGCCCCGCGCTCAAAAGGCCGAACAACGGGAAACAATCAACCAGGATGCCCAATAACAGAAACAAACACTAAATGACTATCCTAGATGGCAAGTCCCACATGCAAACACCGCCCCCAGCGACTACATATATATATCGTCATAGAGAACTGCCCGGTGAGCCGTAGGCAGAGAGGGAGAAGAGGACAACTAAACGACTGGCTGTGACAGACTACTTCGTCGTAATTTCACTGATCTAGAGACGGTTAAATTACAACGATTGGTGATTTGATTAGATTCATCGCCGTCGATTATTTGCAAAAGACGATATCATGATCGACGGCGATTGCCTCGTCAATCACGAGAGGCTGAACCCTCTACAGTCTGCAGACGATTACCTTAAACGAGAGTCCCCTAAACTCATGAATGATACTGTCAGTGATACTGTAAAACACCTTACCCGATGATGATATTGTGAGTGATAATCCACCTTAACCTAGTCGTGATTACCCATCACATACAGTTGTCGAACTGAGTAATAAATAACAAATCCACCTTAACCTAGTCGTGATTAAGCATCAAAGACTGCCGGACAGCTGAGTGATAATCCGCCTTAACCTAGTCGTGATTAACCATCACATACAGTTGTCGGACTGAGTAATAATCCGCCTTAACCATGGTTGCGGTTAAGCATATCGACGACTGACGGACGACTGTACGCCTCTGAGGATCTGAGGAGGTGGGCAGCAAATATATATACATATGGCCCCAGCTTGCTGACGTGTCAAGTTAAAAAAAAAAAAAAATAGCGCTACGTAATTACGTGTGAATGAAAATTGTGCCAAGTGCTGACGTGTCGATAATATATATACCTGTGGTTAAAAATTTTCATTTTTTTTTACCTTTTTGGCAATTGGAGTTGTGATTGGAGAAAGGTGATTCACCGGGGGCAGTTCTTTATGACGATACATAGAGAGAGAGAGAGAGCAACTTGCTGACGTGTCAGTAGATACAGCGCTGCGTGACGACGTGTCAATATATCCATTTTGCAAACTGCTGACGTGTCAATACCCAGTCGGTATCCTAGATTACTGACTGGGTGACGTGTCGATCGTATTATATATAATATATAACATATATATCGTCACAAACAGAACTGCCCGGTAAACCGTAGGCAGAGAGACATATATATATAGCCCCATATATAGCGCCCGGGGCAGAGGCGGAGTCGGGGCGCGAGGCGCGGGGGCGGGTCGCGGAAGGCAGGGGAGAGGCGGCGGTCCACGGAGTGCGGGGCGCGCTGATCTAGCCCCCCCTATCGCCATTTACACTGAAGTCGAAGTCATCACTGCTGAAATGTACAAACAGGGGAGGACCACAGATTCACTGCATACCGTCAAGAATCGAGACAGGACTACTCGCGTGCATAAAAGAGG